CATATTAGAAAATGAAAAAGAACATTTTCTTTTGTTGATCAAATTTAGTATAAACTCACCACCTTTATCGTTAAATAAGCAATAAATCTAAAGGGGTGTGCGAAGACACAGTCAAATTTTCTTAGGGGTGCGGCCTTAAAAAGGTAGAGAACCATTGATATAATCTATCTCGTTCACGAAAATGGCACGGTCTTTCGTATTAAGAGCAGTGGAATTTCACACTAAAAATTTTGCCAATCTTATAGCTGAAGATGCTGATACATCAAACTCAGCCAACAGCTTCAAACTCGAGACACAGTAAAAAGTTATCGATAGAAAAGGAAAGAAAAAATAAAACAGGACAAGATGTTGCAAATCCAGAACTATATATTTTCCAGCTACAGGAGACTACATAAAGCAGTGAAGCTCACTCTCCGTAGTCTTCAGCTGTTCTGTAGTTTTCCCGAAACTCCTGTTAGTCTGCAGTGGAAGTCCCAGGAGTTCAGGTCCTGGCGGGGGCTTTCTTGGGGGGAAGCCTGGTTCCGTTGCGCATCAGACCCAACATTTGCAAAGCATTTGTAAAAATGTCCAGAGGACCCGCTGGCTCGGATCCACCACAGAGCAGATATAGGGCAATATCCACGGGCTGCATTCCAGTGGCGAGCAGACCATTGGCAATTTCCAAGAGGGTCTCCGGGTCGGCTCCACCGTTGAACAGACTTGAGGCAAGTTCCAGGAGGTCCACTGGCCCGTCGCAGAGGAGGATTTGGAGAGTCGTAATGAGTTCTTGGGGATCGATGTTGACCTCAGATGTCTGATTGAAGAGAGCGAACCTGGAAAGAGTTGGCATTCTTTTGTTAAGTGTCATTCGGCATTCTATGGCATTCCAAAGTGAATTATCAAGTCATAAGGCAAGGATAGATAGATGTCTCTTGGTCACACCATAACTCTCTTTTACACACACATGCACACACACACACATATATACATATATGTGTGTGTATGTGTGTTTGTGTGTGTGTGAGAGAGAAAGGGAGACAATTGCACACACAAACTAAAATTTCTGTGTTTATATATATATATATATATATATATATTATATATATATATATATATATATATATATATATATGAGTCTTTGTACCTACAAACATGAATATAAAGATTTCAAATATACACTATTCAGATATTTATCTTACTTCGCTTCTGGGAGAGAAACCTCTCCCTCGGGATCAACGGGACCAGCCTGCGCCACCGCAGCTGCCACGCCCACCAGGAACATTACGCTCACACTGAAGGGATTTTATGAAGGGAACAAAATGATTAAAATGAAAAGTGTGTATATATACATACATATGTTTATATAGATGTATACATTATTATATATACCATATATATATATATATATATATATATATATATATATATGCATATTCATACACACACAAATATGTATATACATATGTGTGTGTGCCTATCAGAATAGCTGAGTTTCAAAATGATTTTCATCAAGTTACTCTACTTCATGTATATGTGTATGCACACACACACACACACACACACACACACACACACACACACATATATATATATATATATATATATATATATATATATATATATATATATAACTCATACGATAATAACACCCTTAATCTACGCACGATCTCAGTTAAGAAGAATTTCAGTTTGTATGACTTTTGAGTTACTTCCATAGATATACTTGTAAATCCTTCAAGTTACTTGGTTGCTTGATATAAGACCTGGATCTGAGAGAATCGCCACGGGCCTCACTTTTACTGATGTTTATAATAGGCATTTTTTATACTATGTTTTATACTACTTCATTATATCACTCCCTCCTAATCACGAAGACACATCATGTCACTCTGACAGATTTTGGATATTACTGTTTTTTCAGAAGGGAGAGGGAAGGAGCCAAAAATGTTCAATATTCCAAAACATCCCCCCCCCCCATTTCGGGTTTATAAGGCCTAACACCAGTTGTGTACAAAAAATAAATACTTTTCTAAGGTTCAGACAAAACTTCGTTTGTACTTTATACCTCTTATGCGGAAATTGACTAAACGTAACCAATCTCTAAATTTCGATTCTCCAACTCTACCATAGCTGAAGTTACTCTAGAAAACATCAAGTAATATGCGTGTGTACTTCACCTCATGATGTTTAGCTCAGCTCGATTTGGACCCGAACACAGAACGACTTTGTTGGGATATGGTACAATGCAGTGCCTCCTTTCAGCTTATATACAATATTGGTGACATTCATTAAACGATAAATGAAATAGAGTACAAGTGCTATGAACAATAAGTTTATTAGCGAAATAACAAAAGTCCATTTTTTACTTTTATGACCCAAAAGCTTGAAATTTAGCGAAATTTATTTTAAACTGTAGCATTGACCTTCAACCCCAATTAGTGTGTAATGAAGTACGAACACATGTGTCCGAGTATGTGTACACACACACACACACACACACACACACACACACACAGGTTGATGGTTGTTGGACCGTACATGCACGAGCCCGACGCTGCGGATGTCGTGGAAGTTGTGCCAAACCAGCCAGACATGGAGTGGCGTCGAGACCCGAAGAGATTGAATGAATGGTAATTTTCTAATTATTTTTATAGTCAAACGTGTGATCCCGCTTCTGTATGGTACAAAATTTCTGCAGGCTGAGCTATCTCTTGTCTGCACCCGTGGCGCAGGCCTACATCCATTCGCGAGTGGAGGGCATCGTATTTGTGTTGCTTTTGTGACCTACCCTACCTCTGTGTAGTAATTACATGCACACTTGCAGTGCACTCGGCACACTGTGTCGTACCCACGCAATGAATGTTTACTATGCCGCCAAGCTCTTTCAGAGTTTGTTTTGCACTGTTGTGATTACGACAAATATAAATTGGAAATGGCCTACCGTTTTGCAAATCCCATGTCGTAAGCCATTCTGTTCGCAAAGCAATTGGGCTCGAAGTGTTTCAGGCAAAATACGCTGGTTGGCACAATCTGAAAGTTGCTCCACTTGGCATGCACAAAACGTGTCCATTTCCTTGCTCTGTCGTGGTCTTTTGGCCATTCAAATAGCTGGTGACATGAATGGGAACAATGAATTGGTACACAACGCCGCGGCATCCTTTGTTACAAACTTTAATAGCTTGAAACTGGACAATTCCATGATATCCTTGACTCGCGGGTGCACTGTGTGTATCACGCTATTCAACAAGATTCTCCCTGGTTCTGGGAATGACGTCACAACCGGGGATTGCCGAAGACCGCCGGGTTTTGCATCTTCATTTCTAAGGGCATTGCGGGATATTTTGGGATACAAGAGGTCTTCGATTTTTTTTTTTTTTTTTTTTTTTTTTTTGCATGAATAGGCTAAGCATACATTACTGAGCAATATTCAAAGAAAAAACAGTGCACGATAATTACACACACACACACATATATATGTATATATATATGTACATATATATATATATATATATATATATATATATATATATATATATATATGTATCATTTTTATTCTCTAGCACCATAGTATTAAACATGTTTTCGCCGCATTGTCTGAAACTTTCACCTCTCTCTCTCTCTGTATAGTAAGAGAGTAAGGACTTGTCTTTTATCATCACACTTTAATACACAGGGATTCCATAATTACGTTAAACCAATTATCAAGCATTTCAGCATATAATATCAGGAAAGACAAGACTTTTTATACTTGCACTGAACCTACCTGTGTACGGGAGAAGAGCAAGCAGCCGATTAAGAAGTCGCTAAAATAACGAACATTACCCAAAATTAATTTTTAACACGTCAACAAACTAGCCATTTATTATATCTGATTAATATAATTTACCCTTTTTGTTAGAACACAAAATAATGCAAAAATATGTAAACAAATGTTCCAGTGACGTACATACATCTTATTAGATATCGAATGAATAAGGATCTCGACATACAAACATATATATATATATATATATATATTATATATATATATATATATATTATATATATATATATATATATATAAAATTATATATGTACATATATGATTATATGTATACATATATGTATGTATATGATTATATACATATATATATATATATATATATATAATATATATATATATATATATGTATATATATATATATATATATATATATAATATATATATATATATATATGTTTGTGTGTGTGTGTGTGTATGTATATATATACTATATATATGTATATATAATCATATATACATATATATGTGTGTATATGATTTTATTATATATATATATATATATATATATATATATATATATATATATATATATATATATATATATATATATATATGCCGCCTACTTATAGCTTTTAGCATCCAAAAGAAAACTAACATTTATCTTGGTTGAACTGAATTGTAAAAGGGATTCGCCTATACTAGTACCGATTATATTCTGTTTTTTTTTTTTTTTTTTTTTTTCTTAAGGGATATTCATTAATAAATAATAAGCGATATCAAGGCTACTGAGTATTTCGAAATACTCAGTATTCCTATAATGCAGTGTTTCTATCTCAACCCCAGGGGTGCTCGCCCTCCCTGGGGGTGTGAGATAGCGTTCCAAGGGGTGCGAGAAGTGCCCATCTTGAACACCAGCAATTAATCTATTTATTAATCATAATCAAGAAAAAACACGAAAAGAGCCATTGAATTGAACATTCATTTATATATCGTTTTACAGTTAGTTCTTTAATTTTACATGTATATATTTCAATAGTTTGGGACATGTTTTCTTGTCCATATGTTTGATTTTTGTAAACATATTAGAAAATGAAAAAGAACATTTTCTTTTGTTGATCAAATTTAGTATAAACTCACCACCTTTATCGTTAAATAAGCAATAAATCTAAAGGGGTGTGCGAAGACAGTCAAATTTTCTTAGGGGTGCGGTCTTAAAAAGGTAGAGAACCCCTAATACAATCTATTTCATCTACGAAAATGGCACGGTCTTTCGTATTAAGAGCATTATAGCTGAAGCTGCTGAAACATCAAACGAAGGCAACAGTTTCAAACTCGAGACACAGTAAAAAAGTTATCGATAGAAAAGGAAAGAAAAAATAAAACAGAACAAGATGATGCAAATCCAGAACTATATATTTCCCAGCTACAGGAGACTACACAAAGCAGTGAAGCTCACTCTCCGTAGTCTTCAGCTGTTCTGTAGTTTTCCCGAAACTCCTGTTAGTCTGCAGTGGAAGTCCCAGGAGTTCAGGTCCTGGCGGGGGCTTCCTTGGGGGAAAGCCTGGTTCCGTTGCGCATCAGACCCAACATTTGCAAAGCATTCGTAAAAATGTCCAGAGGACCCGCTGGCTCGGATCCACCACAGAGCAGATATAGGGCAATATCCACGGGCTGCATTCCAGTGGCGAGCAGACCATTGGCAATTTCCAAGAGGGTCTCCGGGTCGGCTCCACCGTTGAACAGACTTGTGGCAAGTTCCAGGAGGTCCACTGGCCCGTCGCAGAGGAGGATTTGGAGAGTCGTAATGAGTTCTTGGGGATCGATGTTGACCTCAGATGTCTGATTGAAGAGAGCGAACCTGGAAAGAGTGTTGGCATTCTTTTGTTAAGTGTCATTCGGCATTCTATGGCATTACAAAGAGAATTATCAAGTCATATGGCAAGGATGGATAGATGTCTCTCAGTCTCACTCTGTAACTCTCTCTCCTTATATATAATCATACACACACACATACATTCACACACATTTATTTATATGTATATGCAAATATACATATATTTGTGTGAGCGAGAGATATTCGTGTATATATACATATATATATATATAATATATATATATATATATATATAGTGTGTGTGTGTGTGTGTGTGTGTGTGTGTGTGTGTGTAAATATATATATATATATATATATATATATATATATATATATATATAATGTGAGTATTTGTACCTACAAACATGAATATAAAGACTTCAAATATACACTAGTCAGATATCTTACTTCGCTTCTGGGAGAGAAACCTCTCCCTCGGGATCAACGGGACCAACCTGCGCCACCGCAGCTGCCACGCCCACCAGGAACATTACGCCCACACTGAAGGGATTTTATAAAGGGAACAAAATTATTAAATTTCTTAATTTTTCAGCAATGCGTCATTCGTACCACTGCCGCTTAATCACGAAGTCACATCATCTCACTAATTCTGACAGATTTGTGGATATTACTGTGTTATTGTGTTCACTCGAGGCCTAGGAACTTTTAGTTTATCGCAGAGGGCAAGGAGCCAAAACTGTACAATATTCAAAGAAACATCCCCCCCCCCCCCATTTCGGGTTTATAAGGCCCAAGTGCACCAGTCGTGCATGTCACAAAAAAATAAATACTTTTCTAAGGTTCAGACAAAACTTCGTTTGTACTTTATACCTCTTAAGCGGAAATTGACTAAACGTAACCAATCTCTAAATTTCGATTCTCCAACTCTACCATAGCTGAAGTTACTCTATAAAACATCAAGTAATATGCGTGTGTACTTCACCTCATGATGTTTAGCTCAGCTCGATTTGGACCCGAACACAGAACGACTTTGTTGGGATATGGTACAATGCAGTGCCTCCTTTCAGCTTATATACAGCATTGGTGACGTTCATTAAACGATAAATGAAATAGAGTACAAGTGCTATGAACAATAAGTTTATTAGCGAAATAACAAAAGTCCATTTTTTACTTTTATGACCCAAAAGCTTGAAATTTAGCGAAATTAATTTTAAACTGTAGCATTGACCTTCAACCCCAATTAGTGTGTAATGAAGTACGAACACATGTGTCTGAGTATGTGTACTCACACACACACACACACACACACACACACACACACACACACACACACACATACACACACACACACACACACACACAGGGTTGATGGTTGTTGGACCGTACATGCACGAGCCCGACGCTGCGGATGTCGTGGAAGTTGTGCCAAACCAGCCAGACATGGAGTGGCGTCGAGACCCGAAGAGATTGAATGAATGGTCATTTTCTAAATTATTTTTTATAGTCGAACGTGTGATCCCGCTTCTGTATGGTACAAAATTTCTGCAGGCTGAGCTATCTCTTGTCTGCACCCGTGGCGCAGGCCTACATCCATTCGCGAGTGGAGGGGCATCGGTATTTATTTGTGTTACGGTTTTTGGGGTGTACCTACCCTACCTCTGTGTAGTAATACATGCACACTTGCAATGCACTCGGCACACTGTGTCGTACCCACGCAATGAATGTTTGCTATGCCGCCAAGCTCTTTCAGAGTTTGTTTTGCACTACTGTAATCATGACAAATATAAATTGGAAATGGCCTACCGTTTTGCAAATCCCATGTCGTAAGCCATTCTGTTCGCAAAGCAATCGGGCTCGAAGTGTTTCAGGCAAAGTACGCTGGTTGGCACAGGCTGAAAGTTGCTCCGCTTGGCATGCACAAAACGTGTCCACTTCCTTGCTCTGTCGCGGTCTTTTGGCCATTCAAATAGCTGGTGACATGAATGGGAACAATGAATTGCTACACAACGCCGCGGCATCCTTTGTTACAAACTTTAATAGCTTGAAACTGGACAATTCCATGATATCCTTGACTCGCGGGTGCACTGTGTGTATCACGCTATTCAACAAGATTCTCCCTGGTTCTGGGAATGACGTCACAACCGGGGATTGCCGAAGACCGCCGGGTTTTTCATCTTCATTTCTAAGGGCATTGCTATGGGATTTTGGGGGGATACTAGAGGGTCTTTTCGATTTTATTTATATTTATTTTTTATTATTATTATTTTATTTATTTTATTATTATTATTATTATTATTTGCATGAATAGGCTAAGCATGCATTATTGAGCAATATTCAAAGAAAAAACAATGCACGATAAATTAAGGAGCATGAGAAAAAAAATAAAAACAAGCAAAATCCGGTTTGCTGAATCACTCAGTAATCTTCTAAGGATTATATGAGTCATTTCTGCAAATGGAAACAATTTTGATTGCCAATCATTTCTTAAAATAAGCCAAATGAATATTAGTAACATGTTTTACATATATAAATATATATTTAAACGTACATACATACAAATATATATATACACATACATATATATACACACACACACATATATGTATATATACGTATAAATATATTTACATACGTTATACATACATACACTATATATACATATATATATAGATATGAGTCTATGTATGCACCCACGCGTGTTTGTGTGTATGTGTAGGCTTGTGCGTGCGTGTGTACATTTATGTATCCATATATATGTATGTATACATCATTTTATTATCATTATCATTTTTATTGTCATCATTATCATTATATCATCATTATTGTTATTATCATCATATCACTTTATCATCATTATTGTCATCATTATCATTATCATCATTATTGTCATCATTATCACTTTATCATCATCATTATTGTCATCATTATCATTTTTATTGTCATCATTATCATTTTATTATCATTATAATTTTTATTATTATCATTATCACTGTTATTGTTATTGTCATTATGATCATTCTCCTTATCATTGGTATCATCACTGCAGTAAATATTATTGTCGTTAATGCAAGCGTCATTAAGAAAATCCTATTCATTTTTTCGTTAGCAATATTGCAGTTCTTATCATAGAATTTACAAAGCTCGGTAACAACGCCTACTTATCGCTTTTAGCATTCAAAAGAAAACTAACATTTATCTTGTTTGAACTGAATTGTAAAAGGGATTCGCCTATACTAGTACCGATTATATTCTGGGTATTTTTTTTTTTTTTTTTCATTAAGGGATATTCATTAATAAATAATAAGCGATATCAAGGCTACTGAGTATTTCGAAATCCTCAGTATTCCTATAATGCAGTGTTTCTATCTCAACCCCGGTGGTGCTCGCACTCCTGGGGGTGTGAGATAGCGTTCCAAGGGGTGCGAGAAGTGCCCATCTTGAACACCAGCAATTAATCTATTTATTAATCATAATCAAGAAAAAGCACGAAAAGAGCCATTGAATTGAACATTCTTTTATATATCGTTTTACAGTTAGTTCTTTAATTTTACATGTATATATTTCAATAGTCTGGAACATGTTTTCTTATCCATATGTTTGATTTTTGTAAACATATTAGAAAATGAAAAAGAACATTTTCTTTTGTTGATCAAATTTAGTATAAACTCACCACCTTTATCGTTAAATAAGCAATAAATCTAAAGGGGTGCGAAAAGACACAGTCAAATTTTCTTAGGGGTGCGGCCTTAAAAAGGTAAGAAACCACTGATATAATCTATTTCATTCATGCAAATGGCACGGTCTTTCGTATTAAGAGCAGTGGAATTTGCACTAAAAAATTTAGCCAATCTTATAGCTGAAGATGCTGATAGATCAAACGCAGCCAACAGTTTCAAACTCGAGACACAGTAAAAAAGTTATCGATAGAAAAGGAAAGAAAAAATAAAACAGGACAAGATGTTGCAAATCCAGAACTATATATTTTCCAGCTACAGGAGACTACACAAAGCAGTGAAGCTCACTCTCCGTAGTCTTCAGCTGTTCTGTAGTTTTCCCGAAACTCCTGTTAGTCTGCAGTGGAAGTCCCTGGAGTTCAGGTCCTGGCGGGGGCTTCCTTGGGGGAAAGCCTGGTTCCGTTGCGCATCAGACCCAACATTTGCAAAGCATTCGTAAAAATGTCCAGAGGACCCGCTGGCTCGGATCCACCACAGAGCAGATATAGGGCAATATCCACGGGCTGCATTCCAGTGGCGAGCAGACCATTGGCAATTTCCAAGAGGGTCTCCGGGTCGGCTCCACCGTTGAGCAGACTTGAGGCAAGTTCCAGGAGGTCCACTGGCCCGTCGCAGAGGAGGATTTGGAGAGTCGTAATGAGTTCTTGGGGATCGATGTTGACCTCAGATGTCTGATTGAAGAGAGCGAACCTGGAAAGAGTGTTGGCATTCTTTTGTTAAGTGTCATTCGGCATGCTATGGCATTACAAAGGGAATTATCAAGTCATATGGCAAGGATGGATATATAGACTTCAAATATACACTAGTCAGATATTTATCTTACTTCGTTTCTGAGGGAGAAAGATTTACCCTAGGATCAAGGACAACAGCCTGCGCCACCGCAGCTGCCACGACCACCAGGGACATTACGCTCACACTGAAGAGATTTCATGAAGAGGAACCAAATAATTAAAATGAAAATTGTTTATATATTTATATATGTATATATGTTTATAGACATATATACTTAATATACGTTCATATATACAAATATATATATATTTATACAAATATGTATATATGTATTCATACACAATATATATATATATATATATATATATATATATATATATATATATATATATATATATATATATATATATATATATATGCATATCAGAATAGCTGGGATTCGATATGACTTTTCCTCAAGTTTCTTTACTTGATTTGTGAAAAAAATCTTTTACTGTTTATATGACTCATACACACACACACACACACATATATATATAACTCATACGATAATAACCCCCTTAATCTACGCATGATCTCAGTTAAGATGAATTTCAGTTTGTATGACTTTTGAGTTACTTCCATAGATATACTTGTAAATCCTTCAAGTTACCTGGTTGCTTGATATAAATACTTATATCTGAGAGAATCGCCACGGGCCTCACTTTTACTTTTCATACTAAATTTACTAACTTCAGTAATCGAGAATGTGACATTCGTATCACTGTCTCTTTGGCACGAAGTCACATCATCTCACAAAGCCTGACAAATTTGTGGATATTACTGTGTCTTTTGTTTTCATGCGAGGCCCATGAACTATTAGTTTATCGCAGTAGGAGTGGCCCCGAAAATGTACAATGCTCAAAGATACTTTTTTTCCCCCATTTCGGGTCTATAGGATCCAAGTGTACCAGTCGTGTATGTCACAAAAATATATTTTTCTAAGGTTTAGACAAAACTTCGTTTATACCTTATACCACTTACTCGGAAATCGACTAAACGTAACCCATCTCTAAATTTCGATTCTCCAACTCTACCATAGCTGAAGTTACTCTAGAAAACATCAATATGCGTGTGTACTTCACCTCATGATGTTTAGCTCAGCTGGATTTGGAACCGAACACAGAACGACTTTGTTGGGATATGGTACAATGCAGTGCCTCCTTTCAGCTTATATAGAGGATTGGTGACGTTCATTAACCGATAAATGAAATGGAGTTCAGGTGCTATCAACAATAAATTTGTCCACGAAATAACAAAAGTCCATTGACCTTCAACCCTAATTAGTGTTTAACGAAGTAAGAACATGTGTACAGGTGAGTATGTGTACTCGCTCATCCACATACAGCTATAGACACAAACGCACAAACAAAATATGCGAAAATACGATAATCATCTATGTAAATAATAAAAATTATTACAAATGTTTAATTCATTAGAGATGGAGGAACATAAATATTAGTACAATTAATGATGACAAAAATAATAGTATAGTAATACTGATAATTATAAAATTAT